TTGTAGCGCTCGCGCGAGAGTTCGAACGTGAGTTCCCCGCAGTTCGCGCAGCAACACTTCCCTAAACAAGCGCACTGCATTCACCGGTGGGTGTGTTGTCTAGGGGAGCTGGAAATGAGCGAGCTGCAGGTATTTATCGCGACCTAACGTCATATTTTGTTCTACAAACCGTAATTGATATGCTTTCACTACAGGCGCCTCATACAATTGAATCGACGCAGTTGTCACACTGTGTGCCGTGTTTTAAAGAGGAACTGGTGAGTCAAACTAGCGCTAGCCTGCGCTGCTCTGTTGGCTCTTTCTTATATTTTTCTGTGTGGGCGCCGAGGCCTATTATTATGAGTATGTTTTTGCTGTGCTCCTCCTGCTAAAGTTTGCATACATTAGATAGTTGTTTTGATTATGTGCACTAAGCTAGATTAATATTTGCACTATTGTTTATGGTGCATTGATAAGAGAATCAGTGCTTTGACTGATTGAATTAATTTATATGAGACATTTTATTATGTAATGATATATTGGTAATTATTAGTGGGCAAAGCTCCCACTGAAAGATCAAGGCTATGCTCACACTCAGAGCAGCCGTCCTCCTGTGGACTCACCACCTGCAGAGGGTCAGTGAGGGGCTGGTGCTATGAGACTTGGGTGGCATCTCTGACTGCCACCCCCCTGACCCAGAAATGGATTAAAGGGTAGAAGATGGATAGATGGATATTGGTAATTATGAGATATTGCTAATGCTGGTCCAGTTGATGGCGAGCTGCCCCAGGTCCAAAGCCTAGACCCCTCATACTACCCCTATTCTACAGTAGGACATTTGGAACAATAACCACTACGGACATTAAACTGTCATATATAGATACAGGTCCTAGCCCAATACTCATATTCATATATGCTGCACTTGCTACTTCCCATTAAAAACCCCAAAGATAAAAAGTATGTTGACACGGACTGCTCTGATTTTATGTGTGGTCTGTGCATGTGTAACTGAGCCTGCATCTGGCACAACATCCAATTAGATCACGTAGATAGTTTTGATTTATCAGCAGCCAACGACATGGAACAAACTGTTAGTCCATGGGTCAGAGACCAACGAGAATGCACCAGCAAAATGATTCCTAACATTATTTTGTTTGCCTACAAAAGTACGTGGAGACCAACAAGAAACAAATCGCGGTCAAAAAGACTCGAGAGGACTCGAAAGTCAAACCGTAGGACTTGGGACTGACTTGAGATTTGTTGGCCTTTGACTTGGACTCGACTCGGGACTTGCCTGTCTTGACTCGTGACTTGACTCGGGACTTGAGGGCAATGAATTGAGACTGACTTGTGACTTGCTAAACAATGACTTTGTCCCACCTCTGCTAGTTACCATAGCAACACAATGTTAGCAGTTAGCATTTAGCTTTTCAATGTGTTTTAGCGTCTTGTTAAAATTGAGTAAATTTAAAAACCTTCTGAATTACTATCAATAAAGTTGATGGGGAAATTCTCTTATTTCCATTGGTTGAGCCGTCAAAATGACTGCTCTGGGAGGTCAAAATGACTGCTCTGGGAGGTCAAAATGACTGCTCTGGGAGGTCAAAATGACTGCTCTGGGAGGTCAAAATGACTGCTCTGGGAGGTCATAATGACTGCTCTGGGAGGTCAAAATGACTGCTCTGGGAGGTCAAAATGACTGCTCTGCTCTGGGAGGTCAAAATGACTGCTCTGGGAGGTCAAAATGACTGCTCTGGGAGGTCAAAATGACTGCTCTGGGAGGTCAAAATGACTGCTCTGGGAGGTCAAAATGACTGCTCTGGGAGGTCATAATGACTGCTCTGGGAGGTCAAAATGACTGCTCTGGTCTGGGAGGTCAAAATGACTGCTCTGCTCTGGGAGGTCAAAATGACTGCTCTGCTCTGGGAGGTAAAAATGACTGCTCTGGTCTGGGAGGTCAAAATGACTGCTCTGGTCTGGGAGGTCAAAATGACTGCTCTGGTCTGGGAGGTCAAAATGACTGCTCTGGGAGGTCAAAATGACTGCTCTGCTCTGGGAGGTCAAAATGACTGCTCTGGGAGGTCATAATGACTGCTCTGCTCTGGGAGGTCAAAATGACTGCTCTGGGAGGTCAAAATGACTGCTCTGCTCTGGGAGGTCAAAATGACTGCTCTGCTCTGGGAGGTCAAAATGACTGCTCTGCTCTGGGAGGTCAAAATGACTGCTCTGGGAGGTCAAAATGACTGCTCTGCTCTGGGAGGTCAAAATGACTGCTCTGGGAGGTCAAAATGACTGCTCTGGGAGGTCAAAATGACTGCTCTGGGAGGTCAAAATGACTGCTCTGGTCTGGGAGGTCAAAATGACTGCTCTGCTCTGGGAGGTCAAAATGACTGCTCTGGGAGGTCAAAATGACTGCTCTGCTCTGGGAGGTCAAAATGACTGCTCTCGGAGGTCAAAATGACTGCTCTGCTCTGGGAGGTCAAAATGACTGCTCTGGGAGGTCAAAATGACTGCTCTGGGAGGTCAAAATGACTGCTCTGCTCTGGGAGGTCAAAATGACTGCTCTGGGAGGTCAAAATGACTGCTCTGGTCTGGGAGGTCAAAATGACTGCTCTGGGAGGTCATAATGACTGCTCTGCTCTGGGAAGTCATAATGACTGCTCTGGGAGGTCAAAATGACTGCTCTGGGAGGTCAAAATGACTGCTCTGCTCTGGGAGGTCAAAATGACTGCTCTGCTCTGGGAGGTCAAAATGACTGCTCTGGGAGGTCAAAATGACTGCTCTGCTCTGGGAGGTCAAAATTACTGCTCTGGTCTGGGAGGTCAAAATGACTGCTCTGCTCTGGGAGGTCAAAATGACTGCTCTGGGAGGTCAAAATGACTGCTCTGCTCTGGGAGGTCAAAATGACTGCTCTGGGAGGTCAAAATGACTGCTCTGCTCTGGGAGGTCAAAATGACTGCTCTGCTCTGGGAGGTCAAAATGACTGCTCTGCTCTGGGAGGTCAAAATGACTGCTCTGGGAGGTCAAAATGACTGCTCTGCTCTGGGAGGTCAAAATGACTGCTCTGGGAGGTCAAAATGACTGCTCTGCTCTGGGAGGTCAAAATGACTGCTCTGGGAGGTCAAAATGACTGCTCTGCTCTGGGAGGTCAAAATGACTGCTCTGGGAGGTCAAAATGACTGCTCTGCTCTGGGAGGTCAAAATGACTGCTCTGGGAGGTCATAATGACTGCTCTGCTCTGGGAGGTCAAAATGACTGCTCTGCTCTGGGAGGTCAAAATGACTGCTCTGCTCTGGGAGGTCAAAATGACTGCTCTGGGAGGTCAAAATGACTGCTCTGGGACTTCTAGTGTTAAGACTGTGTGTTGCAGTCACAGCGGCACGGTGGCTGAGTGGATAGCACTCTCGCCTCTCAGCAAGAAGGTCCTGGGTTCGAATCCCGGCCGGACCAGGGCCTTTCTGAGTGGAGTTTGCATGTTCTCCCCGTGTCTGCGTAGGTTTCCTCCGGGTACTCCGGTTTCCCCTACCACTAAAAATATGTACAATAGTTCTGGCATGTGCCTCCTGTACTGGCCCCGCTCCCATCTCTGTGTGGAGTGAGAGACAAATGCCCAAAAATTAACAATTGTAAACCGCTTTGTGACTCTGGTCTGTGAAAGGCGGTATATAAATAAAGCTTACTTACTTACTTACTTACTCCTATTGTTTGCCTTTTGTGCAAAAATAGTGTTAAATAAATAACTAAAAATGGTTTCTAATTGTGTATGTATCTTAGACTGTGTATGTATATGCTAAATGCTATCTAGCTTCTTTGTTATGCTAATGTTAGAGATTTTATACTTGCTTCTTTGTCATGCTAGCGTTAGCGTGCACTTGTCTTGTGTTGTGTACTCCTGATGCAGCGCTGATTTTTCACCCACAGTGGGACGAATAAAGGATAATATTAAAACTTACCTGATCGTATTCGGAGGCTCCGGGATACAGGGGCCATCCCAGGAAGAGCTCAGCGATGACACAGCCCAGGGACCACATGTCGATGGCCTCACAGAACGGCAGGCCCAGGATGATCTCCGGTGCTCTGCAAAAAACACACAACAAACAAACTGAGAAAAAGACTTGACACAAATCTGATCCACCCTCGCTGTGTGAAGAAGAGGTTCCACATGTCCTTTCTGCTGCTGTCAGACTGTATAACGAACAATGAGGACCGACAAACACTGCCGACCTGACCTCACATGTCGGACATCTGTGCAATATCAGAATGTGCAATATCAGAATGTGCAATATCAGAATGTGCAATATCAGAATGTGCAATATCAGAATGTGCAATATCAGAATGTGCAATATCAGAATGTGCAATATCAGAATGTGCAATATCCGAATGTGCAATATCAGAATGTGCAATATCAGAATGTGCAATATCAGAATGTGCAATATCAGAATGTGCAATATCAGAATGTGCAATATCAGAATGTGCAATATCAGAATGTGCAATATCAGAATGTGCAATATCAGAATGTGCAATATCAGAATGTGCAATATCCAACCACATGTGTCCACTGTCACTTTACTCCAGACCCTAACCCTGATGTACATGTACAGATACTTGTTCAGATACTTGTACAAATACATGTACAGATACTTGTTCAGATACTTGTACAAATACATGTACAGATACTTGTTCAGATACTTGTACAAATACGTGTACAGACACATGTACAGATACTTGTACAGATACTTGTACAGATACTTGTACAGATACATACTTAATACACTAGAATATACAGTTTATACATGCTTCTTTACAGTATAGGTTCTTTATTATGCTAAAGTTAGAAATGTTATACTTGCTTCTTCTAAAGTTAAATTAACTATTTTATTTTTGTTTTTTATTTTAGTATCTTGTGTTCGTCATCCCTACTGTTCTGTAACCGGTGATGCAACATTGAAATTTCACCCCTATGCAGAACAATAATAAAGGATCTTAATCTTAATCTTCTGCGTCCACGTGCTGCCAACGAGCCTCTGCGCTGGGGTCGATCGGAGGGCTCGGTTCCCCTGCTGACGGAGGGCTCGGTTCCCCTGCTGACGGAGGGCTCGGTTCCCCTGCTGACGGAGGGCTCGGTTCCCCTGCTGACGGAGGGCTCGGTTCCCCTGCTGACGGAGGGCTCGGTTCCCCTGCTGACGGAGGGCTCGGTTCCCCTGCTGACGGAGGGCTCGGTTCCCCTGCTGACGGAGGGCTCGGTTCCCCTGCTGACGGAGGGCTCGGTTCCCCTGCTGACGGAGGGCTCGGTTCCCCTGCTGACGGAGGGCTCGGTTCCCCTGCTGACGGAGGGCTCGGTTCCCCTGCTGACGGAGGGCTCGGTTCCCCTGCTGACGGAGGGCTCGGTTCCCCTGCTGACGGAGGGCTCGGTTCCCCTGCTGACGGAGGGCTCGGTTCCCCTGCTAACGGAGGGCTCGGTTCCCCTGCTGACGGAGGGCTCGGTTCCCCTGCTGACGGAGGGCTCGGTTCCCCTGCTGACGGAGGGCTCGGTTCCCCTGCTGACGGAGGGCTCGGTTCCCCTGCTGACGGAGGGCTCGGTTCCCCTGCTAACGGAGGGCTCGGTTCCCCTGCTGACGGAGGGCTCGGTTCCCCTGCTAACGGAGGGCTCGGTTCCCCTGCTGACGGAGGAGTGAGCTGAGAGGATTCACCAATCCCTCCATCGTTTGTGAAAGCCAATATGATTTAATTAGAAAGCACCCGCGCACTTTAGAACTCACACAGAACCAATTCAAATCGACATAGACAATTTAATTAGTCTCTCTGTGTGAAGGCTGCTGGGTTATCAAGCGATGTATCACTTAAAGTAACCCGTCAAAGCTGCACATTTATTTTCACATGAATGGCTCGACTTCAATAGCGCACGGCGTCAAACTATTATGAAAACGCAGAATCGTAAAACAGTCTCTAAAAGTAACATTTGAGAGAGTCATCTTTGAATTCAAGCAGATACAAGAGTTCAGTTTCTTTCACCTCCTGCTTGTCCTGAAGAAATTGGCTTAGGTTTTAGTTTTTAGTTTTTTTATGTGGAAAGTAAACTCAGGCCCGTGGGCAAAATCCGGTCCGTGAGACAATATTTAGTGGCCCCTAAAATGATTTTCAATTATCACAGTAACTTGCATTGATGGTAAGAAGATAGTATGGCATGTTATACTTCATTTCAAAGCTTATTGTCTCACTACCATAGTATTGTATTGGTTCTGACGTGTTCTAACTTTAGTTAACTCTGTTAACTAAAATGTCTTTAGAAGTTATAGCTACTATATTTATCATTTTATATGCTTATTTGTTATTTATTATTTTTATATATATATATATATATATATATATATATATTTAGCCCCCACTCTTAATGCGACTACATCAAAATGGGCTTGGAGGGCTAGCGATAGCCGCACTTGCACAGGCTTAAACCGATTCATAAGATTAGCACATCATTGCCTGCGCCTGAGTCTCTATATATGAATTAATAACTATTTATCAGCATGATCCTAATATAATATTGGTGGCCATGGCAACCCGGCTTAGATCTGTTTAATCCTGAGTGATTACTTCAAGAGCAGCAGTGCAGGATCTTAGAGCCAGCATGTTACAAAATACACGTGATTTGTAGGAGAAAAGCAGCACAGGGTGGTTTAACGTGTGCGCACAAACCGTGATGGTGGTTATTGTTTCCTCAGACTGGGAAGGGAGGTCTCAGGGCCCAATAGAAAAGATAAAATGCTATAGCAACAGCAGGATACAACCAATGGCGACATACCATTTCATTGAGCCAGCTCACAGTCCCTGTATCAGTTCCTCAACATCGACCAACTGGGACAACACTATGAATATTTAAAATCTGAATTAAATTCAGCCGCTCCATAGAACAGAAAATATTTAGGATTAGGTCATTGTTGCCGTGGTAATAATATGCAGCTACAAACGCTAAAAAAAAAAAACGTTAAGATAGCTTGGAGAGCAATGTTATCAAACCCACGTTGAGCCTGTTCTGAGCAGGTTTCCAAAATTACAAGAAGGCCCTTCGCAGGGGCTCAACTCGATACTATTCAACTTCATAGAAGGCAAATAAAAACTGAAGATTTTGTTGTCCGCACCGCGCTAAACTCACAAACAGCATATAGGCAATTGAAGCCTAAAATACTATAAACTTGGACATCCACGACTTTCTTTATTATAAAATTACATCCATCGTCGTCAAACAGGAGTAAACTACTCCTAATTTTTTTTTTATTTATACATTTAAGGATAACCCCTTGAGATGAACCATCTCTTTTATCATAGGGGGTCCTGTGACAACATGAAAAACAAACATTTTATGGATTTTACCAAAAAAAACATTTAAAGAAAAATAAGGGAACAGAATTCCCAAACAAATAACATTCACATCAGTCCGCACCGCAACCTCCAGAGCCCCCCCTCACCCCCCCACAGCTGACACTATCCAAGTGTTTCAGAGTCAATATTACACATGATATGAATTGTTGTAGACTGAGAGCCCAACCGTTGTTAATATTAGTGATAACATGCTGAACGTTAAACTTAAAGTTCCCATATTTTCTCTGGTAAACAAGCCATTTTTCCTTCATTCCCCTAGTGTACATGCGACCAACTGCCTTATACTGCTGTATAACTAAATAAGGCCAATGCGGAGGAGGCTCTGGGCGCTATGTAGGGATTGTCCATTGTTCTACAAGTAGTATCACAGGTCGAAATTAATTATGGTACCAGTGAAAGCTGCCGATACAGAGGGTCCTGTCAGACTGGTGATGAATCCAGGACACTGTACGTTCTGCCAACATTATATTATGAGGCCGAGCCCCAACCGGGGTAAGTGCCTGATTGCTTTTTCCAACGAGTAGTGCCTGGCGCAGCTGTCGTGTAACTTCTAATCACATCTTGTGACTTGTGATTGGGACCTGCAAGCGACGGCACTGCCAAGCACTGATAAATCCGTGCCGGAGGCACGGAATGGCTTTGCTCCTGCTGTAGTACACAGTGAAATGATTGAGTCCTAATTAGTGGGGGGTTCTTCAACTGTCTTTACGGAGCGAATGTCTCGGGCAAAGGCCCGGACATTTCGTGCTCGGTGGCTTTGTTCCCCCAAGCCCGACGCACGTGACCAACACTGACATAACAGTGCCGAGGCACTGAAATGGCCTTGGCTCCTGCTGTAGTACACAGTGTAAGAATAGGTCCTATGGGGGCGTGGTACCTCATGATGATGATGAACGCAATAGTTTGCGTTCGCCTCCGACGTTCGCTTAAAACGACGTAATCATTTGTATTATAGGATACTCTGGAAACCTATATTGTTTTTGCACGAAGATTTTAAAAAAAAAAAATCCTTGTTTGGTTTGGGTTGGGTTATTACCCGAGCCCCAACCCGGGGGAAAGGCCCTATAGCTTTTCCATACGAGTAATGCCCTGGTCGAAGAGATTGTTGAACAGTTCAAATTAACTCGTTGAACTGTCGCGGAGATGTGACCGTGCACGCGACGGCACGTGCCCAAGCATTGATAAATCCGTGCCGGAGGCACAATGGCTTAGTTCCTGCTGTAGTAACACAGTTGAAATGAATGAAGTCCAAATTAAAGGGGTTCCTTCATCGGTCTTACGGACATTCGTCCCCCCAAGCCCGACGCGCGTCCCAGACACTGACAAATACAGTGCCGGAGGCACAGAATGGCTTTGCTCCTGCTGTCGGTACATCTGTGAAATGAATGGGGTACCAAAGGGGGGGGTGGGTGGACCTCATGATGCGAGGTGATGGACGAGCGCCGACGCGCTCGTCCAATCACCGAGAACCAATAGATGCTTTGCCTCGGTGTTCGCTTTAAAAACGCCCGTATAATTTGTATAATAGGTTTACTATGGCAACTATATTGTTTTTGCTCGAAGTTTAAAAAAAAAAATTCCTTGTTTATGGTTTGGTTGTTTGGTTTCTTTCTTTCTTTCATTTTCTTCTGCGCTTTGAACCTTAATTTGACCCCCGAATATTGATGAAAAGTTTGTGATAATTTTGCCCAAAAAATTCAGAACCCCCCTCGTGTTGGCGCTGCGCTACAGTGAGCCATCAGCGGCGAAACATTTATTTTTTGGTGTTTTATTTTTTTGGACAAAAAAATGCCCGAACCGCGCCCCCTACAAATGTCAGTTTACATGCGCCTATGGGAGCGGGTCCGGAGGTCAAGGTTTGCGTAGAGCCACGAAACTCCGGTACACATGTGTCCTCAAGTCAAGACATGAAAAAAAAGTTATAATGGCTCCGCCCCCTGTCAAACAGGGAGCTCATTAATTTTCAACGAAAAATGAAAAATGAAAATTGATATTTTTTCATCACTTCGCTGAAATTTTCTCCTCCTCGGCCGGTTTCCAACACCGATTTGTCCTCAAAATCGCTCCACATGGTCTAAACCCATTCCCATCTATTAATGAATATGAATTTGGATCAGTTAAACGTTGTCCGAGTGACATATTTTTTCCCCAATTGTTTGACAAAAGTAAATTTGCTCCCGTATGTACAAACCAAACCGGTATTGCACCAAAATTTCGTAACCATTTCAGCTCCAGGGTCTAGGTCATTTGAAAGGGGAAATATTGAAATTGGCTATGATCGCTCCCCTACAGACCATGTCAACGTTTTGCATGGGGCCCTAATAAAATTTAGTGGTTCTCAAAATGTTTGAAAATTTTGCACATATTTCGTTTTGTCATCTGATTCAAAAAGTCATGACAACATATGAATTATTTTTTTACCCTTTTTGCCGTGGCAACGACCACACTCCCCTGTCTGTGTCTATGAGAAAATTGTTAAATCTCTGAAAGACACTCTGGCTCAAACATCAAACCAGCGCGGCCGTTTCACTATTTGTTTGAAAATCATTCCACATGTCTCACACATGGAACATCAATTTGCTTATAGAAGTTTAATTAGATCCAACTGTCTGAGCGTGACAGACCCCAAAGTGTGGCCATTTTCATAGAGATTGTGTGAAGTTTCCCATATTATCCAATGGAGACTGTGTGACACACATCACCAGATTGTTATGTGCAAATGGAGCACATTCACAAACTACGGATTTTGAGCACTATAACTTGACTCGGTTGGTCAACTCCTGGGCCTAGTCCATGACAGGTGAACAATGAATTTGCCCATTATCGGCCCTCCTAAGGCTAGTGAAGTTACATGCGGATACCAAGAAGTTAGGTTTTATGTTGTTTGGATCTCAGATTGACCCACATAACAAACACAAAACTCACCAAACTTTGCCACAAGCGTTTTTCAGGCATAAAGTGTAATTAGTTTGGTGGTTCTTTGGTACTAACCATAAAAAAATTTAATTGTAGGGGGTGCTGTTGTACACATTAAAATGCCACCATTTGCACATACAAAGTCCGATTTGCACAAAATTCTGAATTGATGTTCGAACTCTCGGGGTTGAGTAAACTGAACGTGTAAATCATGGAATGCAGCATCATCGCCCCCTACAGAAGTGATACAAAGTTCGATGGAGAGACTGGGTTTACCGTTTTCAATAGAGACACACAATCACTGGATCATAAGAATTCAAAATGCCACAAGGGTCCGCTCCACAGGGCAGGGGAAAAGTGGCGCGGCAGACGCCACCTCCTT